ACTTAACTTAACTTAACTTAACACAAAAGGATTGCATTTCATTTAACTCTATCAAATTATTATTCAAGAATTTACAAACGTTTAGATAATTTAATTAATAAACAAATGTATATAACAAGGATTATTATTATTATACATATTATTAGTTGTGAATTTAATTGTAATTCAATATTATTCTAAAATAATTTCTCAAATTAATCTCCTTTACTTTTTTTAAGATTAATATAACGTGTTTTAAACATTTATCTATATTATTTCTCTCCTTCACTGATAATATAGTTATATTATTTTGTTGAAAATGATAACTTTTTAACGATCAAGAGATTTTAAACTTATCGGTCACAAGGCACACATTAAACTAGTTTTTTCTGAAATGTATGTTACTGACTACCTTTTTCAAGCTTACATCAATAATTAACTTAAATTCCAATATATTTTTTTAATTATAGGAGTTTTATAATTCTAGTAAATTTTTCGCACCTACGCTGACACTAGCTGCACCTCCCAGTTTGGAAACCGCTGCTTTATATAATGTGTTTTGTATATTACACACATTTTTTTACACTAAAAATGATTAAATATTGTTTATCAAAAAAAAAAACGTAAATCTTATATTTATATATTAAAAACTTTTCAATTATAAGCTTCTTTGATTTTTCAGAATGATTATTTTCAACAGGATCAACTTTCCTCCAAAAACCGTGAATCATTTGATTATTATTACATCGAGGAATGAACAAAATGTATTAATTGCCTTGATATCCTCTTCCTTCAACACACCTTCGAGTGTGACTCTTATAGTTAATGATTAACGCGTTAAACCGCGATTTCATCAGAAATACATAGTTAATAATTGAGATGTTTACAACTTATTATAGTTTACTCTTTAAGTGCTTTGGACTTTATTGAAAAATAATTTAATTATTGATCTATTAAATGATATATTGTGGCACATCGGTTTAAAATCACTTAAAACTTTGTCTAAACTACTGAAACAAAGCCCTTTATAATCCATTAAAGCTTCTATACTCGGGGTTAATATAATCATCATAACTTATATTAAATTATACATTACAAGGGACTAAATAATCATTCATAATGGTTTTTATCGAATATTCAATTTTATTGAAATTACTTACTTCTTATTTTTCATAAATTAAATGATTTTATATAAAAAGTACTTATAGATTTTAAAGTTACAAGAATGTTTTTTATATTATTTATTTTTATTGTTAAAATTAATATTTATTTATATTAGGTAATTTTTAACGTTTTCAATGGGAAACTATTCCGCTCATTGTTATATTATTCTGTTGCAGTTCCAAAACTATTTACACGTTGCCAGGATTTGACAGATTGTGAATAATACATTTATTTAAAAAAAATATATATATTTAGTACAATCTTTTAAATTATATTACTTACTATTTTGCTTATCATATACAAATAATAATATTTTATTGTTATAGGGATATCAAACCGGATAATATTCTATTGGACGAAGAGGGTAAGTTCAATTTTATGATAATGTTCTTACAATTACTTTAAAATATTATTGGGAGAAGCAATACCGACAAATATTAGTTATAAGAATTATTTCGTTTATCTTCATTACGTTTTGGTGTCTAAACGAATTCAGAAAAGTAAATTTAAAATTATTAAAGATACTGAAATTTTTAAAATAAACCTAATCGTGTTTTATATTTATATTGATAAAAAAAAATCAATTACAAATTAATATAATATTAAACAAAGCAGACCTATATATAGCTATTTACATGAGTTAATCTTTTTTAGTTCTTGTTATTGTTGTAAATGAAAATGCTTAATTTTGTTTTTGACTGTTGCAATAAAGACTTTTATTAAACAATATATACATTTATTTTACCAAAAATTAAAATGTTTATATATCTTTAGTATTTATTTACAGAAACTTATAACTTATTGGTGACTATTCTTAAGAACTTTGAATAAAAACATTTTTTTATCAACCCTAAACAAATAACTTGTAATTTTAAAAAATTTTGGAGGTATTAATTTTTGTTTTATTGATCACTAGTATTTATCGGTTTTTAAAACACGGTTTTTGAGTCTAGATGTAAAATATAATCATGAATTAATTATTTGATTAAAAAATAAGCATTTCGACATAAAATCGTCACTTTAATGAAACAAACAGAAAATGGCCAAGGAATTAAGTCTTATTTTCAATTTGCAAAAGAGATGGAATAGAGGTCATAGTATTAAAATCTATTCATAAAATATGAAACAAACAGAAAATGGCCAAGGAATTAAGTTTTATTTTCAATTTGCAAACGAGATGGAATAGAGGTCATAGTATAAAAATCTATTCATAAAATATCTTCAAGAACCTGAGTTTTTTAAATTATTTAATGCTAAAGACGTTTAACAATAACAAATAAAATAATATGTTATATAAATTACTATAAATTTGTTATTCGCTTTTTTTACATAGTTTTCTATTGAATAAATTTATTTTGTTATATTTTATTGTAATATTCTAGAATTTTTTAAGCTTCTTTTTTTTGAGATTCTATTTTGATATATTTTTTAATTTTAAATATAAAAACCCTTTTTCTATTTTTTTTGTGAAAATTCTAAAACCGGTTTAATCCGGTTTTGTAGAATCACAACATCCTTTATTATAAGTAACTTAGTTTTTAAAATTTAACCAAGTTATTTACAAGTAACAAACTTTGTTTTGAAGTCAATATTTGAATATAAGCTTTTTTTTAGCTTTGAAAACATTAAAAAAAAGTTATACAACGATCCTAGGACTTCTTAATAAGAAATTCAATGATTATTATAAAATTGTGTTAGAGTATTACAAGTTTGGACATTGAATATATATATATCAAATACTAACTTAAAAACAAATTATATTTTTCAGTTTTTACGTTTCTTTCCATTATATGTTGTATACTTTTCAAAAATATTACAATCTGGTTCTTTTCCGGGTTTAAAACCTTCATTTCAGTTGTAAAACCATTTTCAAATTGGCAACTGTATTTTAAACTTATTAATTATTACCAAATTATAAAGTGATTGATGAATTGAAGGATAGATCGATAATAATTACTTTCAGTACTCCCTCAGGTCTCTTGCGTTTTCATGGAAACTAGTTTCCAGTTTTTGTAACAATATATGCAATGCGGCAACGCTATTTAAACTGATATGGAAATTGTGCTGGCAATTGAATTGCTAATATAACGTACAACTGCAAAAAAATCATTAATTTGTAAATAAAATTGAAATGAGTTTATTAACTATTTATTATGAACAAATAACTAAATTTTCAATATTCTTTCAATAATGTTAATTACTTATTGATGAGAAGTTGAATAAAATAATATTAAATCACGTAGGTAACAATTATTAATATTACTTTTTTTTTCATTGCAAATAGAAATTAAAACCGCATGTAAAAAAGACTTTATTTTGTCAATTAAAATTTACTTTCTTTTCAAATTTTTAAACCGTAATATATAGTGAGCATGGACTAACTGAAGCCGCACAATTTCTATATGTAGAAGAATAATTATGAAATTTCAACATAAAATGTTCACTATATTTCTTGTTTATATAGTGAAATTAAAACACAAACCGTTCAATAGTTCAATAAGTTTATAAATCTTCAACTTATTGTTTTCTAATTTCCAAGCATGTGCGTTATACTCGCTCTGTCCGAAAATATAGTATACATTTTAATATTTTTTTTAATATAAAAAAATATTAAATTCATTTTATTATCACAATATAACTAAATACAAGTAATTTGTAACGTTGTAAATTGACAATACAAACAACGCTCCAAGGTGCAACGATGTCTCCAGAATTTCGAGAAGACCGGATCGAACCATGAAAGGATACGGTTGACATCTCCAGTAGAGTAGATTTTTTGATATATTTGTGCGATCCCAGAACCGTGAAAGAATACGATTAAGAAGCCCGGTAGAGAATAAGGAAGCAAAAGTTGGAGTTCTTCCTCTCCAGAAAAGGAAGTGGCTTAGAAGATTTTTTATAATTTATATTTTGTATTTTCGTACGCGATATCACTCGTCGTGTTACAAATTTTAGTCTATTCCAAATTTAGTTAAAGTGAGATTTAGCCTTGTTGATGTTTTACTTTTTTTATATGAGGAAACTTATTAAAATTTTTGTTGTTATTCTTGTGATTGAATAGAGATTAAAAAAAATAAATCGAGAACGTTTAAATCGGTGGTGGTTGTGACTTATTATTCCAACCATCAGTAGAACCGTGTTCTATTTTTTCTTTGTTCTTCATATACTGAAATAGCAGTTGCAAAATACCATGAAGTTGTTCGTTGGTCATTTGCTTTGATTTGACATCTCTTCTTTGTAAATACACGGTATTCGGATTAAAGTTTTCCATTTTGAAATAACAGCGGTGACTATTATATTTTTCTTAAAAAAAAACTAATTTTTGGTCTTCAAATTCCAACTTAACTCAAAAACAGCGACTGTCAAATATGTTAGGCTATTTAGTTATCAATGTGAACAATACCAATATATGAATATTGGCAGTTGCTTTCGAAACTAGATAATCTAAGATTTTCTTTCAGGAGGAGTATATCATTTCAGAAATATAGAGCATTCAATTCTAATTTTATTTAATGAAATTAATTTATAATTCAATTAATTATTAATTATTATTTGTATATACATTTTGTATATGCAATACGAAAATCGGTAATAATTGTGTTTGATTCAATATGTATGAATTCGATAAATTTGTTATGCGTCGCTATTAAATTGGAAAACGTAATTTTATATTTATATTAAATTTATATAAAACAAATAATATATTCCGTTATTTATTTATATTATGAATCGAAGTTTTAATCATTTGTTGAACTTTTTAAATAATTATTAATTATATTTTTATAAATAAAATGTATGGCCGGTATATTTGTAACTGATCATATATGTTTATTTTTTAAATCATATATATATTATCAATATACTACTGAAGTTCACCCGAATTTTATTTGGCTGTCGTTTTAGCTAAATAAACAATTTAAAGAAAAAATAATGGTAAAAACTTCCATTGCAAAGTTTGCCAAAAAACAAATGTCAACCGCCATAAGATTTACATAAAATTTGCAGGCATAGATTTTAAAATAAATATATTATAAGACATAATATAAAAAATAAGTACTACAGATATATAGTTAGTACGAGTGTATTTTTTATATTATTTCTCTCAATGTTTCTCAGATAAGTCACGACTCATCCTTATAGATAATTTATAAGTATATATGAATTGAATATTTTGATGTATACCAAAATAATATTAGACAGGAATATCGAACAAAGTGGAATTTTACAAATATTCGAAATATCGAATGTAAATTTCCAATTCTGCTTTCACCTTTATTTGGAGTGTATGGATATACTGTATGTTTTCAAATTCAGATTACCGTAGGCGGATTGAGAATTATTTTCGATTTTGTTCGGGGAAATGTGAAGCAAATGTGAAACAAAGAATGGAAACGGTTGCCACCCCATTGCACGCGAGAAATCCGCGTTTTTTCAACAAATGGCGGTGCGAGAGCGATAGCAAACGCTCGTTTATGTGGGAAAGCGTGAGAGGAAATCAAACGATCCTGGCGGGTTGGATAAGATTGTAAAAGGGTTTAGTAGAGTGTAGATCTGCCGATAAAATGCGCCCCCTCTCTTCTACAATGAGTGTGTGTATATTGCACGAGTTCTAATCATACGTCATTTATCAAAGAACAGCACTCTGGAAACATTAATGTATAATATATTGCATGTACCTGCAATATTTAATGGATTAAACAATTCTAATCTCATTTGAAGATTGTATTGAATTGTAAATAATAAACAAAATTTATTGTACACATACAAATCAGTGTTGTTTTTCTGTCCGGGAAATAATATTAATATAAAGTATAGAAATAAAATTTAAAAAACAAAAAGATAAAATAAATATTTAATTATAGTTTTAAAAGTACCATCCTAGAAAGCAGAAACACTTACAGCATGCTTTATAAATAAATTTTCTTGTGCAGAAACTATCTTCTAATTAATTTAAAAAATATGAAATTACGAACAAACTAAATCAGACCATGATGGTTGATGGCACATTTGAATATTAGAAAAACGCGTTACACTTCGTTTAGAATTTGTTTCATAATAAAATAGTTTTCATAGGAAATTGAGAAGCATTACCTTTTATTGAAACATCAATAAATATTTAGTGGAGTAACCGTGTAGCGAGTTATGTGTGTAGTAGAAATATTTTGATATTCTTCATTTATTTAGAGTTGTATTTCCCTCGGAGCGATTTTAACAATATTAATTATAAGATATCAATTCTCGATATCTTCATACCATTAAATAAATAATTATTATTTGTAAATTCAGTCATACGAAGCTTCGATATAACTATTTCGCTATTTCAACAAAAAATGTCTAAATGTACAAGAAGATGAAGAGGATGTTAGAAAATAAGAAAATGCGGAATCTTGTTAACAATCATAGTAATTATAGATAAGATAAAGGTATCCTCTTTTTATATTTATAATCATACATTCAATTCTTTATATAGTAATCATTATTTAGCTTTAAAATATTTTAGCATTTTTTTTTAAATTTAAGAAGTCATTCTAATAATTATAGTAAAATCAACTTTTTTATTTCAATTATTACTGATTTTACTTCAGTGTGCACTGCTCATTAACAGATATTAGCTGATTTTGTTTTGTATTCTTTCGCAAGTCCTACTGTTTGATTTGTGTTTATTATACTAATCGATTGCAGCGTGAGTATTATTTAAATATCATTATTATTAATGCAGAGAAATAAATAATATTTCATACAGTTATTAAAATGAGTTCACATACCCATCAAAAAGACAATAATATTTCAATTTCAAAAATGCTTTATTATATTGCTAATAAAGTTACAGTGGTAGTTGTTATAAGGGAGTGGCGTATATGTGAGCTTGGGCTCACAGTTATTATAGAAATAAAACGTATGAATATTAGCAGAAGAAGACAAATTTTTGATTCAGATTATGAAACCAGTTTGAGAAATATTAATTTACCAATATTTTTAAACGCAAATCCTTAAATATCTCGATATTTGAAAAAAATGGATTTATACCACTTTTTATAATAACGGTTTATATATCATCTTTCCATTATATTAGGTTGAAGTCAATTTATGTTTTATATACTATTTTTAATTTGGGTAGTTATTTTCCCCTGATAACAAGATAAATGAGATGTCCTAAGAATATATAGTAAAGCATTATAAAGATAATAATCATTTCTATAATGACTGATCTATCCATATAATAAAAGACATAAACGAAAAATATCATACCATGATGTAACGTAGAATAATAGTTGTATGTCCATACCTTTCTAATATGATTTTAAAAGTCATTTAATGTTTACCTGCTTTCAAAATGTGTGTTTTTTTTTTATAAATGCCACTTATATAATTTAATTATACATGCACGATTGAATCTGGACGACAAGGCAACGCCTGACGCTCACGCAAAATTCAATTATTGGTAATATTGATTTGGCGGGTCGAGCATGAAATTCAAAATGCAATTAATAAATATATAATATAAATTAAATTGCAATAAATTACACAACATTTCGTTAAACACGCCAGCTTTTCGAAACTGAAATTAATTAATCAAATACAAATACGAGGAATGTAAATCTATTGATTTGATCAATATATTTTTTTTCTTCTTCGTCCTTCCAACGCCTTCATAGATTATTTATGCTTTATTGGCGCAAAGCGATGAAACTTTTAATGAAAAAATATTTGCGATAGTAATTAAAAAGTACAAAGTCCCAACAAATAATATAGACTTATTTTGAATTAAAAAAGACATGTTTATAAGAAAACCCTCGATAAGATTATCTGCTTGATCCAATTATAGTGGAAAATATGATTTTATTGTTTGTCGCCCTTCTTACATTTACTTTATAATTATATTTTTTTATATTTCTTCTCATGTTCGTTCCATCAAACTTTTAATGGGAATCTTTAAGGCCTTTCAAAGGTGATCCTCCCCGTCTCTTCGCATCGCATGCCTACAGAAAATAAGGAAGTCGATAATTATACAATTTGAAACGAAAACTCGGCAATTTGGCCGGAGGGATTTTTAATAACGCCGACGTTGATGGAAAACAAAAACGAGGAAAAAGTAAGAGACAATCTGTGCCCGTTGCGCTTTTATTCGTCCTTTTTTCAGATTGAAATTGCGGCCTTTAATATAAGCATTCTATGAAGACAACACAATGCAATGAAAACTGAACCAATGCAATATTAGACCGGATGCAATAAATAAATAATTAATAATAATAATATTAAAAAAAAACTAATTACATGAACACCATATAAAAATATATGCTGCTGTCTTAATATCAAAGTTTTCTTTATGAATAAACATTAATATTCCTTCTAAAGTTATACATACATTCAAGTAATATACATATAAGACAATAAGTAAATACAAATTGCTGTGCCATTTATTAAATAGATAAAGCGAAAAGAGTACAGTTCATAGCCCATTGGACTAAAATAGGCCATCAAAAATTTTAAAATAGTACAATTAGTTTGATTCTTGGTTATCAGAAATGTATTCATTTTCGACTTGAAGTGAACGATTTGATATTTCTCTCCACAATATTTTTAAACGTGAGTTCAATGAAATAAGGTTATTTACTAATTTCGCGCTTAGTTCAAAAGATATTTCTTAAATTTATTAAGGGATGTAACAATCGTTCAAGTACTAATTTTACTTTAAAATAGTACCCGAAATGTGTAGGTTAAATGTCCGAAATTATATTGTTTTTGGCGATGGTTGCGTAATGTCGCAATCCAAAAACGAATTTCATTTATTGCTCAATAATCAATTTTGCACAATAGTAAATCTAGGTTAAATATCCGAAAATTCATTGATACAGAACGATTTGGCCATTGCAGAAATACAAATTTACCTGCAAATAGCAATCTGCTACGAATCGTTCAAATATCCGAAAAAGGAGAGATATGGGCGTTGGTGGTGTAATGGTCAGCATAGTTGCCTTCCATGCAGTTGATCCGATTTCGAGTTTCGGTCGGACATCACGCAAGTACTAATTTTAAGTTAAATTGTACCGAAAAGGGAGAAATATGTGCGATGGTGGTGTAATTAAACAATGCGAGAACGATTTTTGCCAATTGCAATTGTAATTTCGTTAATCATATTAGCCGGTAAAACCGCTTACCGATAATGGTAGCCTTAGTTATAAATAAATGTAGATGATTGTCAAATCAATTAAAAAAAATGAGATCAATAAAGAAATACTTATTTTTAATGCTGTATAAAAAGGAATCAAAATTTTATCGTCACCAATTCTTAAAAGAGATAATAAAAATATAATATTCTTATATATCCTCGGTTTACGTTTATCGATCCAATATTTCACTATTTATAGCCCGTATAATCTTTAAGTTCATAATTATATTTTCTTTTCATTGAAGGTCATGCACATATAACCGACTTCAACATTGCAACAGTATTGGAAGATACACATCTGGCGACTTCCATGTCCGGTACGAAACCCTACATTGCACCGGAAATATTCGACTGTGCTATGGACCTCTGCGTGGGATATTCTTATGCGGTCGATTGGTGGTCACTGGGTAACAATTGATCGAATGCTATTAATTAATCAAGCCAGTTGGCTGATTGCATAACTTCCGCACATCCAATTGGTTGGTGCTGTTTGTTTCCGTAGGAGTTGTCGCCTACGAGATGATCAGGGGTTGTCGCCCGTTCGACATCCACTCAAGCACGAGCATCCATGACGTTCGAGTGCTTTTTCAATTAGGCGTGGAATATCCTCAATCGTGGAGCGAGGATATCGTAGATCTTCTCACAGAGTAAGAAAACGTAAAATTTAATTAATCCATCGCATCAATTTGCAATTGAGCCATTATTTTAAAATGCTATTAGTCTTTAATTTAATATATCGAAATATTTAAAGGTTTGCATTTGAATCAATTTAAAAATATTGGAATACGTTAATGAATAATAATAATAATAATATTTTTCACCTCTATTTCTTTTGACTTTATCTTGTTTACGATATTCTTTTTAATACACTAGCTAATATCTGCTAACATCTTACTAAAATTACCATTAACTGATTTTTTTCCAAAAGTTGACTTATACTTCAGAATTACGTATTACATATTCAAAAAATATATATATATTAAAGAAATAGCTGACAGGAGAAATATCGCAATCCTATATTTGCATACAATACAAAATTGAATGATAAAATATTAAAATATATATGAAGGCAC